GTTTACTTGACAAATGTGGCTTATAATTCTTATTGGGGTCAGTTGCTTCGTTCTGGGTGTTTAGTGTTTAAAAAAAAAGTTACCTGAGGGAGGTTGAGATTTTAGGGTCACCTGAGCACTGAAAAAAAAAAAAAACTCATTGCTGATGATCCAAATATTCACCTCCCACCAATCTCACCAGCTCAACACTCATGATGAGTCTGTAGTTAATTGCTGTGATCTAATTATAGTGAGACAGCTGTGAACACAAAAGTCCTGATAAAACTGGACTGACTTTTCATCAGGTTTTTTAATTCGTATTTTTGTGTTTTTATGTGAACAGCGTAAAAAAACCCTTTGATGTTGTTTTTATATTTTCATGTCCATTTTATTCAAATGGTCTACTTCCTCGAAGTCGCACTTTAGCTTTTTGTTTGAATTATTGCTTTTTATGACTGTGTCTGTGTGTACCTGTGTGAAATTGTGTTTTGTTTTTGTTTTTTTGGTAAATACTGTTGTCGGGACCATTTATCCTTAGTGGGGAGAGAATTTGGTTTATTTAAGAGTTAGGATTAAGATTAGGATTAGGATGAGGCGTATAGATTTGCAACCACTAAGCTCAAGGTTAAGGAATGAAAAACAGAAATCACAGACGTCATGAACTGGCATCATTTGATATGATCCAAATGGAGATTTTGGTTCTGTTAACCGCCTGTATATTTACGTGTGTTCACTATATGTCAAGGCTAACAGACAGGCACAGTCAGTCACTGTATGGAGTATGTGTCACCCCTCATTACTGCTGTGCTGCTACAGAGGGCTTGTAAATAGGAGTGAACAAACTGCTGCTGCTGCTCGTGCACACACACACACACACACACACACACACAGTCACAGCCACTTGAACACTGTCAGACGTAATAACCCGTGGTCTCATTACCATAACTTTCAATGATGTCTTGTCACACTTCTGCACAAACACCATATTGTCTGTGTTTTTGCACCAGAGCCGCTGATGAGCTGAGATTGTTCATTTGTTCACAGTGTAGCGGCGCTGATCACCGGACGGTTCTGTCACAGACGATCTCACGTATTAACTAATGAAAGACACAGAAAGTCAGGCTAAACACAGGGATATTCAAATTGTTCAGGTAATTTCTGGTTAAATACTTCATTGTAATATATCTGACAGAGTCAGACGACCATTAGAAGGCAAATTACACTGGAGCTAACGTGTTTAATGTCATTAGAGGTGGTGGAGATGGTGTTGTTCTGTTACTGCTGCTGTTGCTGCTTCATTCTCACCCGGTGCTGCCTTGTTATCGTGGTGACATTTTAAATGACTTAGAAATTTGTTATTTTCAAAAGACGTTTTTACCCTTCTTGAAATTTTGGGTTGGGTGGTGGATTGGTCCCGCTCTGACAGGGTCTTTATGTTGGGCTGTAGACATGTGGCATTAGGCCCTAGTACAGTGGTTCTTAAATGGTGGAGGTACTGAACCTCACCAGTTTCATATGCGCATTCACTGAATCCTTGGTGATGGCCAAGTGGGGGGCGTGTCATCACGAATCATATGAGTTGGGTGTGTGTCTTGTTCCACCGAACCCCTGAGACTGACTCACCGAACTCCTGGGGTTCCATCGAACCCAGGTTTAGAACCACTGCCGTAGTAGCTGTCTGCAGAACGTTGCTTCATTTATTGATCAAGTCATCAACTTGGTTACATTATCAACTGTTAGAATTTTTTATTATTCTTGACGGTGTATCAATAATCAACAGTTGTTGTGATAAAACATTATGGGCCGATGCTTATTTTTATTGGATACGACTAAAGGATGCACTAATTGCATTTTTTGGACTGATTCTGATTTTGTGGCTGTTGTGACTTGCCAATACCGATTTTTGCAGATTCCGATTTTTTTCAGTTCATACACAAATATCTGCAGCCAGGATATTTTATTCTCGTCACAAGTAATTATGAAACAATCTCCCGATCGCAGATCCCGCACAATTAAGGAAATCGGCGGCTATCGATCGGCCATGCACCCCTAGATGAAACTATTAGTTTAAAGATTTGTTTCATGATGTAACAAAAGCTACCTCTTGACTCTCAGAACCAGTAGTAATTCACTTTATTTCTAGTCACTTTGGTCCATTGGTATGTATAGCTGTCACGTTAACACAAAGCCTCGTATCGATCTGCGTCAGTTTCCCTCGACTCTGACTGTCTTTCTTGCGGCATACGTGTTGTGCGCACACACGTGACCACTCTTCTATTTGATAACAACTAACCACAGTTAACGAGGAGTTTTAGCAGAGCAGCCGTGGGCTTTTAAACCATCACTCTGTCATTCATCAGGTAAACGCAGTACCTCAGATCGTTTGACACACCTTGTTAAATGCCCTTAGGTGGTAACTGTATGCTCACAAGGCTAAATAATTTGGGAGCAATCTATCGTCTAACATTTGAACAAACGTACAGCGTGCGGGAGGTCCTTCCTCAGCCTCTACATGACTGAATCCATGTCTCTTAAGGGGTTGTCGTAGCCTCGCCTTCGCATTTCCTGAAGGTCGCGGATTTGTCGTAGAACATGCATCCTTTGCTGGTGTGCCGATTGCAAAGTCATCATAATGTCCCGAATGTCCTCTTCGTTCCTTCCCAATTGTGCAAAGTTGTCCAGAATAGCAATGTGCCGATTGGTCAACTGATTAGCCGGCGGCAAATCTCCTCGGGGTAAAATGTACCAACATGGCCCTTTGACCCACACAGAGAAAAGTAACTGTTACTATCACCGAGTACATTTGTGAAGATTTTGTGTATTTTATATGAAATACTTACGATTTCTACCATTGTGAGGTCCGTCTCCCTTTTGATCCATTTTAGAGAACCTTCTGATGGCTGGTACAGAGGAGCCAGTCAGTGAGTGGCTGTGGTCAACAGCACCTGGCGGATTTGGTCGGCTGTCTTTGTATTTTAGGCCAGTTGACTTCCATTATGGTGCACTGCTGCCTTCTGCTGGAGCTTATCACTCACTACGTGTCTATTTTTTTTATCCCTGCTGCGAATAATTCGCCTACCGGTTAGCAGAGCGAGCTGTAATTCAAATACCAAGTCTGGTCCTTTGATGTTTGTGACATCATAAGTCACGTGATGTCACACGCAGTCATTAATCAATTTGAAGCATTTGAGAAAAAATAGAAAAGAAATCTTTTCTTTTTGAAGAAAATCAACAGTTTTAATAAACATATTTGGACAGCACAGGACAAAGACCTTGTAGTAAAAAAATAAATTCATGTTCATTTCATTTCTACATTCAGCTACATCAATTATGTGGTTCTTTTACTTACACTTGTTACATTTTCAAACCAAAGAACAAAATGGTATTTAAAAACATTTAGTTTGTTGAAACATTATTGAAACAAATCTGACTCTGAATATTCTCTGTACAAAAATGTATTTTAACATAATTTCTTTATGTATGACACAAAATAAATAATTAAAATAAAACCGAACATACTTTATTGATTCTCCATAGTCATTATATTTTTGCATACATATTTCAGGGGTCAATGTGTACTGAATAAAAAAATAAATATATTTTATCATATATTAAATAAATATTAAATAAATAATATAATTTATAAATACAAATATAAATAATAAAAGTTATATAAAATGTATGATGATGACAATAAATAATAATACTGTACATATCTACAATAATGTCTACAATAATTATCTACAATAAAGTTTAAATATATAAAAAATATCAGGAAAAAATGTCAAAGTTCTTACGATTTTTCACACTTCTTTTCTTTTGTTTAGTGTATGTTTACGTTCACTCGTTACCTATAAACCAGGGTTGTACGATAAACAAACTAGTTCATCAAAATATGAAAAATACATTAAAAATAATACAAAATGTTCAATATCGGTAGCTATGAATATTATCTGTGTATTATTTTTTAATCTAGGAATACAATATATATTTTTATATTAAGCCATTAAATATTAAGCTTGATGGTTTTTAATTATTACTTCATTTTAACTTGGTCTTGTTAAAATGACTTTAGATTCCCTTCACACATTCGACTCACTCCTGCTCGGGCCCTTTGATTAATATCTGGACAAATTAATTACATTCCACCACTTCTATCTAATCTTTCAGATGATTTCACAGACTCCATGTGTAGTTGAGAAAAACATTTCTGCCACTAACATTTTCCAACCCACTGGTTTGTATTTTTACACGTTCAGTTGTGCAGATAATTACTTTTAAGCCTTGAGTTCACTTTAGAGTGCGCTAATTCTCTCTCTTGGTTCTTTTTTCTTAGCCTCTTGGTGGATAACAAACTAGAGATGTTCTGCAGAGTAAACTCTGATCCGTCAGGATCAGTTCATAATCTAAATGTGTATCACCGACCGTCGCAGGAAGTCGCGGAGCGTTTGTAGTGGAGGTGAAATGGGAAGTCTCTGCTGATGTCTCTGCACACTGCTCAAGATTTCCCGAAGGTCTTCTTCATTTGTTCCCAGTTGTGCGTAGTTATCCATGATAGCGATGTGCCAGTTAGTCAGCTGTCCGTTGTCTCCACTGGGTAACATGTACCAACACGGGCCTGTAGGTGTCAGAAATGTCCCAAAATGAAAACATCTAAGGTTGTGCAGCCACATGGGTAGAGGTTTTTGAAGCTAGTACTCACGGTTCCTCCCGTTGTGTGGTCCGTCTCCCCTGCCATTCATTTTGGATCAGCAACCCTATGTTTCCGCACCAGCTGCAGGTGTAGTAAGAATGTAAAAAAACTGTCTTTCTTTTTTTTTATTCTTTATTTTTCTATGTCACTTTGCAAATGTCTTTCCTTTATTTAATTCTTTATTTTTCTATGTCACTTTGCAGCAGTACTTTTTTTTTCACCTGACTTTTCTATTGGTGGGTGGGTTGTTTAGTTTGTCGCTGCAGTTTGACAGCAGCATCGGTAATTAGTGCACCAATTATTTATTTTCTTCTCTCTATTGCTAATGTAGATTAGCTCATGTTTTAACTCTTGCAACCAACAAACAAAATCCTTTGATCTGTTGTCATGATGTAACACCCAAATTTCATACGTCACCATACGGTCCATTCAAATGCTGGACATTCCAGGTGAAATTCCTCCACTTTTGTATTTGAAGGCTGTTCTCTTTTCATTTTTGTTAATTTAAAATTGATTATCTTATACCATATTTAAAATAGATTACCACGTATCAGATCATTGATGCTTTGAATGTTTTATTCTACTAAATTAGAGACAACATTTTTCAATACATTATCTGCACAGTTCTCGGCGACTTTATAAAACTCCTGCAATTCAACTTATCTCATTCCATATTTTTGTTATTTAAAAAAGTAGATTTAATTCTGTTCCATACTGTTCAAGTCTGCAGTGAAAGAAAAATCACCTGTCGCTCCCTTTCATTGATTTAGTCAGTATTCCAAGCCTTTGTCCTTTGATCTCTTTTGATGTCATGAATTCAGATGTAATTCCATAGACCTGGTGGGAAATCCAGATACTGAGGTCATATTTATTAATTATTCCTGATAGTAGCTGAGAAACCACACCTAAACTAGTCAATATATACATATATAAATAGTTATAAAACATTATGAGTGAGCTGCACCAAGCTGCTGCCGCAGGAGATTACGAAAAAGTTGAGGAGCTTCTGAAGCAAATGACCTGCAGTCCCAACGAGAAGGACGACGAATGGAGCAACAAGACGCCACTCCACTGGGCCGCAGCAATCGGATACACCAAAATGGTCAAGCTCCTCATTGACAATGGGGCGCGGCCATGTCTGAGGACCACACACGGATGGACTGCTGCTCACTACGCTGCCGAGGCCGGTCACCTGGAGGTGCTGCAGCTGCTGCACTCCCTCCACGCTCCGATGGACAAGAAGGATAGCTCTGGAGACAGACCCTTGCGTCTCGCCGAAATCTACGGACACCAGCGGTGCATCCAGTTCCTTAAAAAGGCGGTCATTCAGGGCCAGGAATACCGCCTTGGAGCAGCCAAAAAGGGAGTCTTTTTAGATGACATCGATTACGACTGGGACGGGTCGGACAGCGAGGATGAGAGAGACTGGGACAAAGACGCAGAGACGGCTGTAAATCCAAACTCGAACAAGGACACGGACGCTGCAGACGACACGACCACAGACACACAGGCAGTAAACGAGGACAAAGACGTAGCTACAGAAACGGGCACGACGTCAAACACAGATGCAAACACAGCTGCGGAAAACAACTGTGACTAAAAACATCTAAAATCACAGAACCGAAAGAAAATAATGCAAATCTTATTTATCTGTGGTGTGAGGTGAAAAAGAATGAGATCATCAGCGTAATGTCGTGTTCAACCAAATTTTGGAGTTGGAGAGTGCAGGGGATTACAACTGATAACTCGTGGAAATATTTGTTTGGGTAAAAGCGTTGAGATAAAATAAGTCTATTATACACCAAAAGTAAAGAAAAGGTGTATTATCAGATGAAAAGGAAAGGGATTGGTTAGGAAAAACTGGCTTTAAGGTGATGTCGTGAAGGTGTGAGGCATGTCTCTAAAGGCGCAAAAAGGGGGAAAAGAATGACACAATGTATTCGTACATTGAGAAAGGAGAAGGACTCTACTATGACTGCATGATTGACAGTTTGTCTTTTCATGGACAGATGTTGGACAAAAATCTAGACCTGCTGCGAAGATTCGATCATTTGAAGAAGATTCTAGTTTGGTTTCAAATGTGACTTTTGCTCTGATTTGAAAATGCTTCACTTTTGAGGGTTCAATTCAAATCTGATCAAAAAACACTGGACAGAGATATAATGATAAAAGTGTTGGACACGACGCGAAGACCAGTCTGAACTGGTTTCAGTCATTAACACTGATCAGACACGCCGGAATGACTACAATCGCCTGACAACCTTTTGACCCCGGTTATACTGTAGGCTTTAATAAATAAACAGTCAGACGTTTCATTATTACATCAATTATTCAGTGTCATAAAACATGAATCCTACAGGGTTAAGTGTGTTTAGTGTCTCTGCTTCAGCGACGTAACGATTACCCAACATGACAGGATAATAAGTAATCAGAGTACATGTGTTTACCAGTTCAAGGTTTGTCACCCTTTGAAGAAAGACACATGTGACTTACCTTTTTTGATTTGATCACCAGAAGCCATTGAGTGGATTTAATGAAACAGCATTCATGTCTCATGAGACGTCTGATTTCTTTTCTCGGCACAAACACTGACCATCATCGTAGCATCTCTCAGGAGTGCTTTTATGGCTCTTGTTTAGTCAGTGCAAAGACGAAGAACAACAAAAACTGTCTCTTTTTTCGTGAATTTGGTTAAGCAGCAGCTGGCAGTCAGCTGTAATTACACCTAAGCCTGTGCATTATTTATGCCACCTTTTAAAATCCATTAAAAGTCATTTGGTCTGCTCTGAAGGCTGTCATTATCGATCGACTTTACTGTAATTGCTGCTTTAAGCTCTCAAAGATTTTCTGCCTGGTGATTAAAGATGCGGCCCCGGCTGCAGGAGAGAGTGCAGGACACGTGTGCGATGTAAAACTTCAGCAGTAATTCACCTGCTGGTCAGCCACCGCCGCTGTGCAGGCCTGGACGTGACTCGTGATTGCACCGACTGCTGCAGGTTTACTACTACAGTACCTCAGATATACAGTACTCTGGTGCCTCTGCTCCAGGCCTGATTTACACTCCAATAAGGCCCTGCTATGATTTTATGGTCTGAATTATTTGATTCAAACGCCGTTGATCATCTGTGCAGTAAAAATATATCAGAACTCTGACATGTTGTGAAGTGAAACAGAGCAGCATTTCCTGAATATGACGAGGCAGAGAAGGGAGTTCTGAAAGCTTTGGAAATCCTGTGGGATATTCCGGAATAATCATCAATCTTTACGAAGCATTTGAACCACACTGGTCTCACTTGAGTCCGATTTTGTAGAGGAAGTAAGGTATTGCTAGGCTGTATGGATATATTTCTAAAACAAGTTAATACACAGGACATGGTACATGGACCAAGTTCAAACCTATTTCTCTTCGCCCTCTCTCTCTGTACCTACACACACAGCCTTTCAACCTCCGCCACTCTCACTGTCACGCACACGCTCTCCCCCTCTGCCCCAACTCACTGCACTACATTGTGCGCTAAGTGCGTTAGCATTGGAGTGAGAGAGGGCGAGAAAAATAGGGAGAGAGAGTAGTCGTTAACACATCACGAGCACGGTTTGACGGAGTGGCTGTCCCCGTCTTCTGAGCTGAACATTTACCATCATGAGCCATTGGAAATGTTTCTGGAGTGGGTGGTGTGGCTGGTTCAGTGATGTAAAGCTAAATGGGCTCTTAATTGCCTAAGTGTGGTATTTAACTGAAGAATGATGGAGCCCAAGTTAATTGCCGAGGCATTTGAGGACAGCTGTAGGTGGGGGGTGGGGGGAGGGATATGAGGACATCAGTGCTCTGAGCAGAGTAGATGATCACTGGCGTCTGAGAAACAGCCAAATGTTACAAAAATAACATTTTGTTCAAGAGCAGTGAAGACATGGTGTGTTAGCCTTAGCTAGCTGTTTTTAGCTCATATGCTGATGATGTCAGGAGCTTGTGGAAACCTCAGGTTGTGGGAGCCTGGCTGCACTGATTGGTCAATTCATCAAACATGATTATATAATTGACTGCTAGAAATTAACGTATTAACAACCTAAGGATACTCGATTAGCACCTGATATATTTGTGACTTTAAATTTAATTTTTTTAGGAAAATCTGCTGCACGACAACCAGCATTATTCCTTTAATAAATTGATTGTGGCTTTAAAAGGTAGATTGGCCTGTAAAAGTCACACTTCACGGTCTTTAGTGGTTTTCTGAATGACTGCTGTATTACAACTTCTCGACTTAATTTAACAGCATCCATTAAAAGGGAAACTGCGAGATGTTTTAATGGTTTGTGTAACGTGGAGAAGCCACTCTCACTGTGAAATTTATGCCACGGTAACACTGTAATAGCTCCTTATAACTCAGCTTTGTGAAGGGTTTCCATATAAATTTTCCTTTCTCCAGACAATCACTGAGGATACAACAGCGCACAACACTGTGGATGTGGAAATTATAACTCTTCAAGAACCGATGATGGATATTTAATTCAAACAAATTCAAGGCCCAGGTCTGACCAATTTGTACGACTCCACTGATATGATCTTTACTATGAGGAAACTACAGACTGCATGTCACAGAGCTCCGCAGTTGTTAAGTATTTGACTGAAGCAGCTTACAAGGAGACGTTTGTTCCCTTTCCTGTCCTGTAGGTGGTGCTAAGTGCACATTTGTTTTATTATTCACATACTGTTGGTGCATTACAAGATAAGGTTTAGTTACTGATTGTCCACACATAATAGGAAATCTTTAAAACCACAGCGTTTATCCACGTCATCAGCCTGCTTGCGCCTAGCATGTTAGCGTTGTTAGCAGTGACATAGTTGTTAGTTATGCTAGTACAGTGCAACTTCGGTTGGAAGCAATAAAACAAGGAAGCAATAAAAGAAGCTAAGGTTGCCAAAGGAGCGACTGTGTTCACCAGGCAAAGATCTCATTGATTCCTATGGGGAAAATGTTTAGAAAAGTTTTAGAACATTTTGGTTCATGAACGGCCTTCAGGAACAAATTAAGTTCGGAGACTGAATATCCACTGTATGTTGTGTTTCGGGAATACAGTGGACAGGTGTGTTAGCACGTAGGTTGTAAAAAGTAAAATTAACAGTATATTAGTTGTGTGCTCGCATGTCCCATTTTAACAACTAGCATGTAGGAGAGAGGTAGGACTTTAGTATTGTCCTTTGTAGCTTTGTGTTAGCACTTTGCATCGTCTAAGATTTTTGTTTTTTTTTGATTGGGTCTTGACAAAAGCTTTTTTAGGATATTTTTAAAACAAAAGTTGCATTAGTTAATTTGTGCCATTTTCTTTACTTCACGTAATTTTCATAAGAAAAGATGAAAAGATCAAACTAACAGGTTCCATTTTGGTCCTTTTCATTAAAGAAATGCATTAGTTCCATCAGAAATGCCTTGAGCACTTCCTGAAAATTGTAAGAGCGAGTGAAGGATTATATGCTTGTGTTGGAAATGAGTCAGTTCGGTAATAAAGGCAAAGAATAGTTGGGTCATTTTAGTTGCATTACATTGAAATTTTACTTTCAGGACCTTTTTTTCTCATTAAAATAGAACATGCAAATCAAAGGGGTGAGATCAGTCAATGGGAGAAAGGTGTGGCCTTGGGCTGCTGTGTGAAAAGAAGGTAGTGTTCTTCAGAGACACCCAGTCTGAAATCTGTGCCTTTGTGAAAGACTGTGATCTCATTAGATGTCGAAAAACTTTTTAGACCGAGCAACAATGATTTTTTTTAACTTAAACTTCTTTATCTTCAGAGAGAAATGAACCCCACTTCAGTTCACAAATACATATTATAGAGATGCAACACAAAAGCCACATTTAATGTGTTTTAAGTAACATAATTCACCTGTCTCTGTATTCTTTTGACGATATTCATGTCAGCATATGTCGTCTCTCTCGAAATACAGGACCATTTTATTAGTCTTCACATGTTGAATATACTTCAGTAGCTGAAACTGCTGTGGAGTTTGAATTGTTTGTCATGGAAACGGGCATTAGTTAGAAAACATCGTCCTAATCCAATTTATCCTAGAATACAACTTTTATCTCACCACAGACGAAAATTAATTCTGCACCAACACAAAAATGTGAGGAAGTGTCCAGCAAACACCTGAATAGGGTCCAGACCAGGCCAGAGTGGGGGCTTTTCCACAGGGGGATCCACACAGCAGACTCCCATTGTATGAGCAGATGGCTTGACCATGCATGGTGATCCAATCTGCTGCTACGATCCAAGGTCGGCCAACTTCCTCCAGCCAGCAGGTGGCCTCTGTCATCGCTGGCTCTGTGTCCAATTCCATCCTAGTCAAATACCACATTTCATCTTCTTTTAGTTCCGCCATTGTTTAATGGACACTTCACTAACTGGGTGTGTGTTGGCGTCCTGGGTCAGTTCAGGCCAGGTCAGGTCAGGTCAGGTCAGGTGGTATTGGGTCTCAGAGGGTTTAAAGAAGCACAGTCGTGCTGCAGCATCTATAATTCCTGTTAATATAATGGCAGGTTAATTACGACTGTGCTTATTGTAGTTGGTGCAGTAATAAGTCAGTGTGACTCAGACAGGCATTAAAAAAATAGTTGTTTGCCTTCGCCTTGATT